CGAAGAGCAAATCGAAACAGAAGATACGCATCTTGCCCGCGAAACAGAAAAGACCCGATGGCCGCAATCAGCACGGCGGCCCCGCGAACGAAGACGCCGCAGCCAGAGCCGCCCAACTTCGGCACAGAACTCGCTCGCTAGCGACACGACCTCTGGGGGCATCGATGCAACCAAGGTCGAAACCCCGTGGGTGGTCTACGGTCTTCAAACTGAGGTACCCGTGAAGCCTGCCGAACCCGACGCCGAACACCTGGTAGCGGCCAGTATCCCCGAACAACGTTGTTTGAGCCGCAGTGGTTCCTAAGAATGTTCGCGCGTTCTCCAGCTTCTGGTATGCCCGTGCCTTCGGCGTCGTCGCCAAGCTGTTCGTGATCGTCGTCGTCGTCGTCGTCGTCGCCGCCGTCGTCGTCGTCCCCCCCGCATCCACGAGATTCGCCGTCTCGCCCTCGCCCCCCCTTCCACGACACGTCCTCGTCCTCGTCCCCCTCTTTCCTCCTCCCGCTCCTCCTTCCTCATTCTGCTCCTCCTCCTCCTCCTCCTCCTCCAGCTCGTCATCGTCTCCACCCTGATCCTCATGGCCCTCCTCTTCTTCCTCCTCCTCCTCCTCTTCCTCTCCTTCCTTCCCTCCTGGTCCTCCTCCTCCACCCTTCCCTCCTCCTCCCCGTCGTCCTCTTCCTCCTCCTCCTCCTCCTCGTCATGTATCGCCTCATCGCCCTCCTCTTCGCCCCCTTCCTTCTACGAAACTATGTGTATGGTCCTGGTGCGATTGCTCCCCATATCCTCCTGCTCGCCGTGGCCTTTTTTGTGTTTCGTACTCCTCCTCGTACTCCTCGTCCTCCGTCGGTTCGCAGTCCGCCTCCTCCTCCTCCTTCACGTCACGTCTTCATCCTTTTCTTTCTCCTTCTCGTCGTCGTCCTCCTCTTCCTCACCCATCGGAGCGTTCCTCGTCCCCCTCCTCGTTCTTGCGTTCCTCCTCCTTCTCCTCCTCGTCCTCCTCCTCCTCCTCCTCCTCCTCCTTCTCCTTCTCCTCCTCTCATCTTCCTCCTCCTCTTCCTCCTGCTCTTCTTCCTCCTCCTTCTCCTCTTCCTCCTCCTTTTCCTCCTGTTCCTGCTCCTCCTGCTGCTCCACCTCCTCCTCCGCCTCTTCCTGCTGCTCCTCCTCCTCTCCCTCCTCCTCTTCCCGATACGTTTCCGTTTCCTCTGTGCGCCAGGGAAGCCCTCGCTCTCTCGATGCCGCTTCCAGGAGGAACCCTCGTCAAGGATGCCCTCTCGCAAGAACGTTCGAGTCTGGCCCCGCCCCCCTATTCCGTGATTCCTTTTGCGCAGCATCTCGGAGCTCCTTCCTCCTCCCCTTCTTATCCGCGATCCTGCCTCCTCCCTGCCCGCCGCGCTCTAGTCGAGGCATCGCCCTGATTTGCTCCAGCATGGTCCCTCCCCGACCAGCCCTTGCAATCTACAAAGGAATTGCGCTCGCGCCTCGGCGCCAGCTACCTCATCCGTCGGACCAGGGGCGCCCAGAGCTCAGCCCGAACACATCTCGACAACCGAGAAGACAATCAAATGGTTCGTTTGGGTATGACCCGTCTTCGCTCCTATCCCGTCCCTCTCGGAACCCAGAACTTCGACTATGTTTTAAGCTAAACAAGCCAGACCACCCCTGGCGCGGCATCTCGGAACCCAGCTGCGAGGATGTCTCACCTCGCGCGCATTTTCTGAGCCCAGGGTTGCGAGGACGTCTCGGGCGAATCGAGCTGGACCACCCCGAGCACATCTTCAACTAGCCCGGAGCTGCGGGGATGTCTCAGGCGAGACGTGCCAGACCACCTCGCGCGCAGCATCTCGGAGCCCCGAATTGCGAGGATGTCTCAGGCGAAACGGGCTGGACCATCTCGCGCCCGACATCTGGGAGCTCAGTGTTCCGAGGCTGTCTCCGGCGGCGCCCGGACCCCTGCCGCAGCACCGCTCGACAACAGATGTGTACTCACATGCACTGTTTGGGTCTCACTCCTGCCCCCTCTCGGAGGCCAAACTTTCGAGGATGGGAACTCCGAGTTGCGAGGCTGCCTCAGACACTGGACCACCTCGCGTGCGACATCTGGGAGCTCAGAGCTCCAAGGATGTATCAGGCGATGCCCAGACCCCTCCCAGAACACAATTCGACAACAGAGGCGTAATCGTTCATTTTTAATGTACCACCAGGCTGCGCTCAACAAGCTGCTTCAACCTGCCCAGAAACGTAGGATCAGCAAGTACTGCACTGCCGAACAAGTCCATGCGTGATCGGTATCGGTGGGACGGAGGCGAGAGAGTGAATGGCCTCGCGACCCTGCGTCTTGCTAGCGATCAAACTGCTAAACATTAGCAACCTTTGGTTCAGGCTCCGATCTCGGATACCATGGAATCCTCCACCTGTTCATGGAACTGAGACACAGCGACCAGCGATACGAACCGGAATGGATTGAAGACGATCCCTTCTGATCACTACCCCGATGCTTCCCACTCCAGTGGACCTCCTCCCCCCGTCGCTCCAGACCTTGAATCTTTCCACCTGTTGCAGCTGCTCCTGGATGGCAGGGTGCACCTGTCCATCGACCAATTGCACAGCGCGTCTGCCTCTTCGTTGTGAGCCCGGATCCTCGATATCATGCGGGTCGCGCCGCTTCATCGCCAGTGCGAGGTACAACAAACATTATGACTAAGTGGCCAGTAATCTCCGCTGCTGGTCTGTCGCCTGGCTGTGGCCGCACAATATGCCCGCTAACATTATGGCATCGTGAAACCCCTTCCAGGGGCAATGTACCCATCGTTCAACACAGGTGTGAGAAACATGGATGAGCATGAAGCACCCAAAAAATTTGTAACCATGGCCCTTCTGATGCTGCACGGCCCGCGGGGCCGTCTGCTGTCCGGCACCGCGGCGAAGTCTCTCAGCGACGTCTCAAGGTCCTCCTGAGAAAGTGCCCACCCTTGTGCTTCACAGTCGAGTCGTTGTCGTCGTTCTGTTTCGCGCTCGGGCGCACGTCGCTCTGCTCCACGATCGAATCGTCGTTGTCCTTCTGACGGCTCGGACTTTTCAAACCAGTTGGGAAAGTCGTGGGGGTCGCCGACTGGCGGAATCTCTCGGGGCCGCTTCTGTCCCACGTCCACCTCGGCGGGACCGCTCGGGACGGCCGCCGCAGCCGCGGCAGCGAGCGCGCGGGCGGGGCCGCGGCCCCGCGACAAAAGATGCAAGGAACCGCGCACGTGCTGGACGAACGTGTCGCTACCCTCCATCCAGTCTGCCCTTTTGCCACGTACCACAGTCTCCCAGTCAGGTTTGAACTCGTCCCAGAAGTCTCCAGCGAGAACGGGCGGACGCCCGCAAGTCCGGTGTCGCCATTCCCGCATCATCCCGTTTAAATGCAGTCGACATGCTCATCATGGACTGCGCGGTCTGCCGATAAAGCCCTCGGCGATATGTAGATAGCACTGCCAAAGGATAGATTTCCGCTACAGTGTCTGCCACGAAAACTGCATGCAAACATAACTCCTACAATACTGTACCCGGATGTGCTTGTCATGGACCTGGGCGATCTTCCGTTCGGCGCATTTCCCCGCAATGACGGCCGATGTACTCTGGTTGAACTTTAGTTTGCCCTCCTTGCTGGTCTTCCAGCGCGGCCGCAGGATCTGCCTCATGTGCTGGTTCTCAGCGACGTCTCAAGCGAAACAGCCGGGAACACCTCGCGCGCGGCGTCTCGGAGCTCAGATGTTCGAGGATCTCTCAAGGAAAACGGCCACTCCTGGACAACTCAGGAACGAAACCTCTGAGGATGTCTTAAGCAAGACGGCCCGGAACACCTGACTTGTTTGAGCATGTCTCTGCTTCCCCGTGCCTCGATCGGGGTGAGCCTCCACCACAACAACACCCCGTTCAGCAAGCCGTTTTGGGGAAAACAACCTCACAGCCCCACCTGCGGAACAAATGTACCCCATCTGCGGCAGCAAGTACGAGGCTCCCCTTGGGATAAAGAAGAGTCCAGCGTTGCAGGACCACAATCTATAGTGATATATCCTCCAACATATTCTGCAACATGGCCGAAGCGACTACCACGCACAACGCAAATGTTCGCATGCATCACTTGGTCTACAACGTCCTTCTGCTCTCCATCGCACTCAATTCTGTACAGCCGGAACTATGAAGCCCGGTCCCACGATGCTGCACTGGAAGGTACCCATCAGGAGCACCTTCTCCCTCACGCCGTTCCTCAGCCGCCGCAGGCACCTAAAGATGATCGTAGCCACCATGCGCTCCGCCAGGCTCCTGCACCAGGATGGCCGCAACCGCTTCGGTGCTGTCTTCGCGCGTCAGTGCAGGACGAAACAAAGGAGCCACACTGGCGAAGTGGAGCGGCGGCATAACTGGCAGCATCTTCTGGCGAACACCTCGGTGCTCAGTAGCTGCGCCATCCAGAAGGCCATGCTGGCGCGGCTGCTTCGCACTCGGGGCCATGCCAGGCCAGCTCCGTAGGTCACCTGCGCCACCATGCCAGAGACCGTCACAGCTAGAACCAGTACCGCCGCGCAGCGCCAAAGTAGCGATCCTCCGCTCCATCATCGTCACCATCACCATCATCATCATCATCATCATCATCATCATCATCATCATCATCAGCAGCAGCAGCAGCAGCAGCATCATCTTCATCATCACCAGGAGCATCGCATCCCCCTTGATCGAGCGGACCAGTACACCCCCCAGCAGCCTGCTGCCAGGCGAACAAGATGGCAATGGCGATGCCCACGGCCCACCGCTGTCAGAAACCCCAGCTGTTGAACCACAGTGTCCAGCAGTCCGAGCTGAAGTCGACGAGCGACTGCAGACTGCACCTGGAGGGCCTCAAGGATCTTCGCTTTCGCGCGCTCCGAACACGCGGTGCAGCACAGGACGAACAGCGAGCTGCAGACCCACTCCAAATCTGCCTCCGTGCCCAGGCCGGCCACGTTGAGACCACTATCGCAGGAGAGGCGAAGCAGGGGGGCAGGCATGCGGGCTCAAGCGCGCCCTGGAAGCCGCAGGGCAAGCAGATGCTTGAGCCCATATGGAGGAGGAGGGGGAGGAGGAGGGGGAGGAGGAGGGGGAGGAGGGGGGGGAGGAGGAAGGGGAGGAGGGGGAGGAGGAGGCTCGGAGGAGGAGGAGTCGTAGCCATGTTGGCTCAAGCCTGGGGCGGGGGCCTCGCCGCCTCAGGTGGTGGTGGGGCCGCGGGGTGGGAAGAAGGCACGCCGTTAGCGGTGGCGCGCGGCGAGAAATCCGCTATTCTAGCAGTGCCCCAGGGCCACCTTCCCCCCCAACCTCCGATGGGCCTCCTGGTACCACCGGTGCGCGGACAAGTCCGTGGCGGCCGTCCAGAAGCTGGGCCACATTGGCGGGAAGCTCAGCTTCGACGTGATCGCGAACAACCTGAGCAACAGCCTCAGGAATGGAATTCGAGAGCTCGGGCATGGGTGCCTGCTGGCCTTCTGCGACGCCTCCACCAAGGTCACTTTCTTTGGTCAGCAGGGAGGCGGACAGCGGCCAGGACGCAGAGGGCAACAGGCACGGCACCGACAGCGGGGTACTGCTGGCCGAGTTCTACACACGTGGGGAGTCAAGATCGGTGTCATGCTACGGTGGCACGTCGACTTCTTCTCCTACGCCCTACGCCTCTCTTTGCCCTGCGCAGCCTCGTGGGTCACACTGGATGGCACCTGCTCCTTCATGTTCGGTCCACCGCTCCTCTCTAGGATGGCTGGCCTGCCACTGGGAAGGTGGCCCAATGGTTGTGCTGTATCTCGTACGGGTCTCAGCCTTGGTATGTTCATCCTGTACCAGTTTCTGGGTATGGCATCTTCTCTCGTGCTGGCACGATCTACCTGGAGGGTGGGCTGGGGAACATCACCGGCGTTGTCGACTTGTACTTGCTTTTCTGAAGGGCCCTGGTATCGGGACCAGACTTTGGCCCTCGTGTAGTTTTGCCCAGGAGGAGGAGGAGAAGGAGGAGGAAAATAATGAGGAGAATGAGGAGCAGGGGGGGTGAGCATGAGGAGAAGGGGGAGAAGGGAAGGGGTGACGATGATGATGATGATGATGATGATGATGATGACGGTGATGATGCTGATGATGATGTTTATGCTGATGATGATGATGCTGATGATGATGCTGATGATGATGATGCTGGTGATAATTATGATGGTGATGGTGGTGGAGGATGCGGGTGATGATCATGAGAATGCTGATGATGTGTTAATGATGATGACGACGAGGATGCTGATGCTGATGATGATGCTTTTGCTGGATTATGATGATGATTATGATGATGATGCTGATGCTGATGATGTTGATGATGATGCTGATGATGCCGATGATGATGAAGATGATGCTGAGGAGGGGGAGGAGGAGCAGGAACAGGAAGAGGATGGAGGAGGACGGACAAATAGGAGTAGGAACAGTCTCGCATCTGCGGGGTGGATGCCAACAGGGGGGGAGGGGGGCAAACGCGGAGCGAGCGGTCGAGGGGTTTCAGGAGAAATTGGCGCAAAGAGGATATGAAGGGCCCCTGAGCTGCCACCCCTCGTCTAGATGACGATGGAAAAAAACGAATGACACAGATACATAATATACATAACAAGAAGAATAATAAGAAGAAGACGAAGAAGAAGAAGAGGCCTCGGGCGAGGGAGGGGGTGCAGTCCACGCGTATCGTTGGGTTGCGCGGTAAGGGGTGCGCGCCGCAAGCTTGCTGGGCGGCGCACGGCCTCAAGCCCGAGCGGCCGGCGAACGAAACCGGCTGAGGACGGACCGAAGAGACAATCGGCGGCGAGCGAGGAGGGGAAGGCGAGAGGGAGGAGGCCGTCTCAAAGGCGGCGGGACTTCTCAGAAGCCCTCGCGCCTTCTGGTAGGTTTGCGGCGTCTTCGGGCCTTCTCACTTCCTCCCCCAGGCTCGCCGCCGAGACAAGGAAGCGAGGGTGCCCTTGGGACAATCACCATGCGCGTTGACCGTACGCCATGCAACCTGCCTTATCAAGTAGAAGGGGTGTAGACGGCATCACACGAACCTTCGAATGCCCGCGCGGATTTCTTGGATCAGCACTGGACCCCCTTGTCGACGCCTGCGGCGCCGCCCCTGGCACGCTCCGCGCATCAGTGGGGGTGGTCTTATCTAAGAAATCTGCGAGGACTTCCGAACTGTTGTCTATGCTGCTTGTTCTTCTTCTTCTTCGAATCATAGACGCGCCAAGCGTAATTTCAGAGCAACAAGGGACTCCATGAGAGCCCCTCGGACTTGGTCATCGATGGGATGGCGAACGGCATTAAGAGCTGTCCGCACTGGTCATCATGAACGGTGATGACCAGCACGGATCCAAGGGGACCGTTGAGAACAAATGAGAGCAACGGCGCAAATAAGTGCACGTGCCTCCACTTTGCACGCCTGGACTGGGTACGGAAAACATGAGGACCATAACCAACAACAAACGTTCCGCCAAACCGACAGTGGCTGCTGTTGGGCAGGCGACGTCTTGTCTCAGGTTGGCAGCGACACCGACAGCGAGTCATACTAAGCATTGGCAAGAGTTGCTGTCGGCCAACGTCCTCCGATGATTCTGCGCCCATATCGAGTGTGCCAGCCTGCGGGCGACCTGTGATGCGTCCTGCCAAGCTCTTCCTAACAAGCTTTGAGCTCACGCCTTCCCCTAAGATCGACAAGTTCAAGGCGATGGCAGCCTGAGGGATGTGCCTTCGAAGCCTGAGGGAGCCCTTGAGATTGGCTCCAAGATAAGGATATATGCCACTCGTAGGCATCGGAATATGTTTCAGGCTGGTAACCTCCTGAACTTCAAGCGATAAGGCACGTGATGCGACGCCCCATCTCTCCCTCCAGCAGGCGCGGCAAGAGCGACCAAAGGGCCTCGCCACGAAGGTCTCCGCCTGCTCTGCGAGCCTCCGCTCCGCGGAGCCTCGGCGGAGAGATCGAGCTAAACTACTCTGGAGGAAGGCGCGTCCTGGTCCTCCTCCTGCTCCTCCTCATACTGATCGCATTCATGCTGGTCTTCCTGCTCACACTCTTCCTGCCAGTCTTTGCGAGGCCGAGGTTTACACACATCCACCGCATGGAGACCCAATCTTCTAGGACCCACCCATGGGGCGATAGATGTGGATATAGTTAGGCCACAAAGGGCCCATGTATGCATACATGCATGTAGATATATACAATTGTAGATCCTTCAAGGCCAACCTTTTCTGATCCAGCTTGGAAGCGCAGTCTTGGACCTCCGAATGTGAAGCATCCCTTCGGTCGAGCTTTTCTGTTCTGTTCCGCATCTCAAGGAACCAGAACTTCAACTGTTAGCACAATTTCAAGAAATCAGAAGGGGCATGGACTTCCCACAAATCTCCTTCTAGGGCAATGACCTCCGCTCCGAAATCTGAACATTGCGTGTCTATGAACGTCCCTGCTGCAGACCCCTTCTACCTTGGATAGTTACCCTCCCATCAAACAACCCATGCCTCATGTCCTGCGTCGCAAGACTTGCACTCTACTGTTGCAGCCTCGTTCTGAGTGCAGCAGAAGACGGTCCCCGAAGGGGCATGAAGAGGTCCTTGGGACAGTGAGACGCTCGAGGCGGCACAAACCATCAGCAATGAACGGACCCAAGGCCCGGCACAGATAATAGAAACGAGGGACCCGGCGTGCAGCCCAATCCTTGTGGCAGGCAGAAGGCACCAGTGCTTTCAAATGCAAAGGACGCGCGCCGAACAGTGACAGGAGGTGGGCAAGGCGGTGGCTCTTCCTTTCGACTGCACGCGTAGGAGTGACCGTAAGGCATTGGTGACCGTAGGTGCGTGGCCTGCCGAATGTTGCATGGGATGCGACAATAGCAGCTCGCGTGAATGGGCTTGCCCTCCCCTCCCCCTGGGAGAATCACTATGCCGCTACAACCACGGGCTCTCCCAAGGTGCGTTCTGCACAAAAATTTCGGGGCGGATCCAGCCGGGGCAACGGGGAGAGAGCAGCGGTACCGGTATGGCTCCCTCCTCTGACAACCCTCCGCGCCCCCCTTCATCAAAAGCCGAGCACCAAAAGTGGCCCCAGCGAAGGATCGCTAATACGTGAAGCCGAACCCAGATTGTTTTCCTGAGGACGTCGCAAGCGCGATAAACACGTACGATCGCATACGGTCAGTAAGAGCGGGTGTGAGGCACACGGGCCCTCAAAATACCCATACTGCAAGGATTCACGAATGCATTGGCTGCACGCTTCGTAGCCGCCGAAGCTCGAACCTGAACGTCTATCAACACCGGCACCTGAGCAAGACAGGAACAAAACTGTGCAAGATTAATCGTGCTGACCGAGCCCAGACGCACGCAAATTAACCTAGGCAAGACATGCGACGCGGCCGTCGCGGCCTTCCAGCCTGGGATTGCTCCCCCTTCCTCCCCCGCGCCCCACGAAATCCGCTCGCCAAAGATCACTCCCCAGACTCCCGACGTCGTGATGTTTTTCAACGTGGACCCAAAAAACTAGCCCATTTCTCTGGGACCGATGTTTCATGCTGGTTAGTTGTTCGACAGTCCCAGGGCCTAGCGAGTGCCTCCAGAAGCCTAAAAACACCCAAACCCTCCAGTTGTGGCTTTCTTGTCCCACGACGCGAGGAGGAGTGTCTGGCGAAGGGTCACTCGTGACGCTTGGGTTTCTTTTGATTCTTTCAAAAACTCTAGGAGGCCAAATGAGGCCTGCGTGCGTAAAGCGGGCGTGTGGGGTCGTTGGGCGCGCGTACGCATGTTACGCTGCCACCTTATATACTATTGTATTCAGCAAGACTGAACGAGTTTAGAGTGTTCGGTTTGGACATGGTCGTTTTGGACACGTCTACCTAAAAACGAATTTAGCATGGTGGTGCTGTTACGAGAAGCAAAGAGAACCCAAACTTCACGCTCAATTTAAGCGACTCAGCCGCGGGGTTCGCTGCCTGGCGGCCAAGCGGCAAGGCCCGCCCTCTCAAGCGGGCGTCCTCGCCTGCGGCCCCTCCGGCTCCATCTCCTCAGAGGCTCAACCACGGAGCTGGAATACACACGCGAGGGACGAGACGAAACGGGTCTTACGCGAGAAAGCATGGCGACCTTAAGCCGCGGCATACGCGGGCCGCCAGCGGAGCATGTTACACTGGCATCGAGGGCGCGCACGCGCGACCTTACGCTACAAGCTTACGCCCGAGTGTCAGCGCAGACGACCTCGCTTCCTTCCGTCGCTCACGTCGCTGGACTCACACGTGGAACATCTGGAGGCCGCGCGTTGGATCCCCCGACCCACGCGGGGGCCCAGCGCTGCAGAGACACGCCGCCGCGCGTGCCTCCAGCTCGTGCCCAGGCCGGCCGCGTCGTGTGCATCCAGCTTCCCGGTGCCAGGGCAACGGAATACGTATCTGCTGCCCGAGGCCTGGTCCCATGCTGGGCCCAGGAGCGGTGCATATGCATCCCTGGCCGAGCCAGGAGGGCGCATACACCGCTTGGGCCAGGCCTGGGAGGTGGATATGGATAGATCCCGTCGCCCTGGGTACGCTTGGGACCCACCCTCGCGCGGAGATCTCCCGTGGAACCTGGCCGAGCGGGTGCGAGTCCCGCGATTCCAGCGCGCAGCTGGCCGAGAATCCTGGGCGCGCCACTGCTCGGAGGACTCCCCGGGGAGATGGCGGAGCGGGTGCGGCTCTCTCACGTTAGATACTTGCTCTGGGGACCTTCCTGGAGCCGCTTGCTCCGCTCCTGCATCAATGCTGCGTCGAACGTCCGTCGACTTGAGCCGAGCTAGGATCGAGCTAGAATCAATCCAGCGCCGACTAGATCCATTAGGTCAGCCCCAGCAGCCGCTGCTGGCGTAACAAAACGCCCATCCAAAGATGTTGCTTCGACCGGGCCACCCCTGGGCCCCACATTTCAATGTTACCTTCGCGGCCGCTGTGGGAGTGCGACCATCGGCGCAACAAGCGCCCATAACTCAACCCCGCAGAAACGCCCGTCTTCAACATCGACATCGGGGAACGTGGGGGTTCTCAGCGCATGGGCGTAGGTTTCTCCGTTTGGTGGGCGCGTTTTGTGGACGCCACTGGCGGAAGGCCGCCCACAAGGAACACCGAAACCCATCTGCTGCCCAGGCTTCTGCTCCTGGTCCGCCGCGCCGTCCTCTGCGCAGAGGGGCACGTAAACCCCACCACCGTGCCTGGCCAGGACCAACGCGACGATGATGATGACGATGACGATGACGATCGTCATCGTCATCGTCATCGTCTGTGCCCTGGCCTCAACGGGACCCGGATTGGGGGCGGCCGGGGGATCTGAACGGGACCCCACAAAATCGGTCAGGGAGGGGGGGACGAGGCCAAATCCAAGCAAAATCGGCCCTGGGGCCCCTCACCCCGGATCCGTTCCTCGTGGGAACCCAGGACCTCGAACCTGCCCGCCCTTCCTGCTGGCCGGATCCAGTGCTTGGCCACCTCGGACCCCCAGAGGGCTCAAAGCCCTAGAAACGACAAGACAAATGTTCGGTCTTCGAAAACCGAATCTTCGAACGTGGCAAAAAAGCTGCCCTACCGTGTCCGGGGCCCTGGCATGGTGCACTGCGCCCTTCCAGCGGACGACAGGAGGGCGCAGCGCGCTATCCTTGGGCCAGGGATGGCCCTGGCGAGCAGGTTGTTTTCAACTGCTTCGGATACAGTCATCGTGCTACCATGAGGAACGCATGACAAGGAACGACGGGGCTTTTCGGGCCACGGCGGGCCTAGGCCACAAGCAGGCTCCGCGCAATAATTCGAAGGACTGGCCCGAAAACCCGAGCCCCTCCTTGAGCCCTGGGCGGTCCTTCCCTCGTCGTCTTGACTGCAACGTGAACCTAAGAGTTATACTTTGAAAAACCTGTCGCACCATGATGAATGCTTGAGCGGCCCAAGATCGCCGGAGCCTCGTCTCTCGACATCACACGTCCCAAAACAGGCGGCAGAAACTGAAACGACGCAACTCCGTAGCCGCAGCAACGCGGGGGAAGAGTAATGCACCTTTCGCCGCTGGATGCGCTAGACCCCACCCTGGGAGAGGGCGGGAAGGGCCCTCCCTTCAGACGTCTGTGGCCAATGCTGAAGGTCGTTACCTGGGGGGGGGGGGCAGAGGACACGAAAAACCAGCAAGTGACGGTGGTGGTGCGCAAGTGTGCAGGCAAGACTTGTGCCCATATTCACTGCAGCTTGGAGCTTCGGGCTCCCTTCTCCAGAAACCCGAGGCACACTGGATCTGGATAAACATCTGGCACCCAAAGGCTCGATGCTTATACACGTATCCAGTGCGCCTCGGCCGTGCGGCGGCGCCCCTTCAATGCAAATCCAAGACGTAGTGACTATGGACATAAGTATCGCCCGCAAAGTGCTTTCCAAGGGGTCCTCGTCGCCCAGAGTTCTGTCGACCTCCCTCTCGTCGATGGACACGACCTCCCCCTCCTGTGCTTCCTGTGCCACCGCGGGCTGCTTGTAGAATTTCGCCCTCAAGTACATCAGTGACAGCATGAAGAATGTGACGATCATGGCCATCGCGGTCAACATGAGCACGATTGTCTCCGTCTGTGGAGTGATGCTCCACGAACCAGCAATCAGGAATGAGGTGGCCATGACTACAATGACCATTGTGCTTACAGCGATCGCCTCGACTATGTTGAGCTTCCGGTCGGTGTACGGCTGGAAGTAAGAATGTACTGCAAGAAAGGTGATGAGGACCACGCCGACTTGCGAAAGCAGCGCGGACGGCGAGTATGACATGGGGGAAGCCCTGAAGCCCGTCTTCTTCAATCCACATAACGTCCGCGACTGGGGGTGGGAGGGTCCCAGGGAGAGTGTAAAACGTTAGCGGCCGCGGCGGAAAGCGGCGGAAGGGGGTCCTTGGGAATGAGGGCTCCTGTAGATCAGGAGCAGAGCAAGCACGGGAAGAGGAAACAACGCACACACGCAACACACTCATGCGTGCGCCCTCAGGAAGAAGCCTCAAACACGTCAGGAAAGGCTGACCAACCTCTGCAAGAGGAGGGAAGAGCCTCTGAGAGAAAACTCAGGGCTGCCCGTATGAGCCTCAAGCCATGTGGAAGAGGCCTCCGAATATTTCCCGGCGTTGCGGTGCCCGAGTTTGTCCGTGCCTGCCAATGCGGACCCATGACCCCCAAGGCAATCCCTAAAGGACCCCGCTCTTGACCTCGGGCCCGATGCCGCCCGAAGATCCCAAGACGACCCCCAGAGTTCCAAAGACCATCCCAACCTCCTGAACAGTGGCCACACGCGCCAATGTCCCTCACGATTTTCTCAAAGGATCACTGAGTTCTGATTCGGCCTGCAAACATTCCTGACTCCAGACCGAGCGTCACATGTCTCCGATGTGAAACCGTCGCTTCTGCATGCCCAGCATACCGACATATGTTCCCGAGCCGATCCCAATATGGCCGCATCGCGCCCCAACTACGCACCACAGGCCTACTAATACTATGGTCCATCTTGCTCTCTAGGCCCTGCGAAGCTAAATGCGACTTCCCGAAACTCGCAATCGCAACTGTGCCCATCCTCATGCATGCACTTCCGTGCGCATGGCCCTGTGTTCTGGCACATCAAGATGTCCCTGGACATACCCCAGGAACTGCCCTGAGGGGCCGAGTCTTCAGGGAGAGCCACAGAGCTCTAAAGATGATGTCGTCACCTGGCCATCCTCCCTCTCTCTCTCTCTCTATATATATATAGATATTGATTTAATCGCTTCGCTCATTCCGCCGGCCCATATTGTCGCACCGTTGTGGGCTAGCCGAGTTTTGGGGCCTCTTGGGGGCCGTTTTGGGGCCTCTTGGGGCCTCTTTTGGGCCTCTTGGGCGCCTCTTGGGGCGTCTTGGGGGCCTCTTGGGGGCCTCTTGGGGCCTTTTTGGGGCCTCCTGGGCGCCTTCTGGGGCGGAGGGCTAGATTTTTCAGTTCTCGGTTCCCCTCTTGAGCCCCTCTTGGGCCCGTCTTGGGGCCTCTTGGTCCGTCTTGGGCGGCACTTGGGCCGTCTTGGGGGCCCTCCTGGGCCGTTCCGGGGCCGTCTTGGGAGCCTCGTGGGCCGTCTTGGAGCGGTCTTGGGGGCTCTTGGGCCCGTCTTGGAGCGTCCGGAAGCCGAAAAAGCCAGAACGCAAAAAACATCGAACAAAAACAATGAACATCAACGATTTTGGCCTCTTGGGGCCCTCTTCGGAGGCCTCTTGGAAGGCCCTTGGGGCGTCTTGGAGGCCTCTTGGGCTGTCTTGGGGCCCTGTTGGGCGTCTTCGGGCGATCTTTGGCCGTCTCGGGGCCCTCTTGGACCGTCTTGGAGGCTTCTTGGGGACCTCTTGGCCCGTCCTGGGGCCCTGTAACAGAACTCCGGCATCTCTGACCCGACCTTGCCGGGGACTTGCCGGGACCTTGCCGGGGTACTTTTCGTCCGGGGACCCCCAGGGGCCGCCCCGCGCGCGCGAAATAGAAATACTGTTAACCAGGTACCGGAGATCTTAGCACGCCCTGGCCCGTTGGGCCGGCGAATATCTATACACACACGCGGTGTAAACAAACACGCTCACTTCTACTCGTATGTGTTCCACTGGTCGGAAACTCATCCGAAAACCTCGAAAGAAAGCATGCCCTCCCACCACCAAAACGAATCTCCCAGATCCCTGGCCGCGAGGCCCCCTCAGACGCCCTTAGACGGCGCCCCCCAAGCCTTCGCAGCCTCCAAGGCGCCCCTGGCGAGCGGCCAAACTGCCCCGCGACAGCTCCTAGCGCGTAGCGGCCTCCAGCACCTCCCAGACGCCTGACGTCAGCCCAAAGGATAACCCTAACAGGCCCTCGAAACGTAAACAACAATGCTGCTATTGTTGCCGTTGGTGTTGTGGGTATGATTAATTCGCCGGCCCAACGGGCCAGAGCGTGCTAAGATCTCCGGTACCTGGTTAACAGTATTTCTAGTTCGCGCGCGCGGGGCGGCCCCTGGGGGTCCCCGGACGAAAAACACCCCGGCAAGGTCCCGGCAAGTCCCCGGCAAGGTCGGGTCAGAGATGCCGGAGTTCTGTTTCGGAGTCCAAGAGGGCTCCAGATCGGTCCAACAGGGCCCCGAGAAGCTTTCTAGACGGTCCAAGAGAGGCCCGAGACGGCCCAAGATCGCCCGAAGACGCCCCAGATGGCCCCAAGACAGCCCAAGAGGTCTCCAAGACGCTCCAAGGGCCTTCCAAGAGGCCTCCGAAGAGGGCCCCAAGTTGCCAAAATCGTTGATTTTCATTAGTTTTTTCGATGTTTTTTTTGCGTTCACGCCTTTTCGCTTCCGGACGCTCCAAGAGGGCCCAAGAGGCCTCCAAGACTGCTCCAAGACGGCCCACGAGGCTCCCAAGACGGCCCCGGAGCGGCCAAGAGCGCCCCCCAGACGGCCCAAGTGCTGCCCAAGGCGGACCAAGAGGCCCCAAGACGGGCCCAAGAGGGGCTCAAGAAGGGAACCGAGAACTGAAAAATCGAGCCCTCCGCCCCAGAAGGCGCCCAGGACCCCGAAAGAGGCCCCAAGAGACTCTCCAAGACACCCCCAAGACGCCCCAATAAGCTCCCGTGAGGCCCCAAGAGGACCAACAACGTCAGGCCCCAGGCCCCAAGAGGACCAACAAATACCGCCAAGAGCCCGCCGAAAGCCCCCCAAGAGACCGTCACGAGAGCTCAGGAGGCCCCCTGGAGGCCTCCCGAGTTCTCCAAGAGGCCTAAAAAGAGGCGCCAAGAGGCCCCAAACGGCCCCACCGAGGCTCCAAGAGGCCACGAACGCGCAAGCAAACGCCTGCGATGGCACAATACGGGCCGGCGGAATGAGCGAAGCGATTAAATAATATGTCTCTGAATGGCCTCCCACTTCTGACAAAAATGATTGTTGATCCCCCTCCTGTGACACGTCTACTTGTTTCAATAAAAAAACGCTCCTTCCGGAAAAATAATGTGTCACCAAACTGACAACAGCGGCTCCCTCCGGATACTTCCTCACATATTATTCCCATAACGCGCTCTCGTGCGGGATTTCCTCACAATGTCTGCACACATTAGCTCTCGCGTGGGACTTTCTCGCAATTGATTCAGACGCCGCGCTCGCGACACTCAGGACTCAGGCTCGCGCTGTGAATTTCCCATGACTTCCGTGGGAATCGCCCTATCGCTCGAAACGTCCTCGCCATTCACGCAGGGCGCACGCTTCAGCAACCCACCTGCTCGTCCTGGCCGCCTGGACCAATCTTCCCGCCCCACCCGCTAGGGTCAGCCCACCCGGTCAGCCCGCCTGGTCTTGCCACGTTTTCTTCTGCTCCTAGCCCCCAACTGATCCTCCTCCGTCCCCCTTGTCTCTGCCTTCCATCCGTTCTCTTATCCCGTGCCTTAGGGGCTGCGCGAAAGACACGTTGCAGGTAAGAAAGATATGCCCCCAAGGGGGCACGATCGAAGACGAAATGGGCGAGTATCGAAAGTCTGGATTATACGTATTGAGAGGCAGATTGCTGTTGCTGTTAAACTCTCACTTCCAAAAGAACAATTATTGTTGATCCCCCCTTGATTGAAATGCTTGTCCCGGGGCCGCACCCCTTTTTCTAACAAGGGAAAATAAAGGGTCACCAACCTGGCGGGCTGTTGGGCCCCAGTCTACAACAACAGCGGCTCCCGCCCGAGACTTCCTCACAAATTATTCCCGAATCGCGCTCTCACGCGGGACTCCCTCACAATGTCTGCAAGAACCGCGCTCTCGCGTGGGATCCCCTCGCAATTGATTCAAACGCCGCGCCTTCGACAATCAGGAATCACGCTCTCTCGCTCTGGCCTGCCTCGTTATCTCCTTGGCAATCGCGCTGTCGCTCGAGACTTCCTCGCGATTCATGCAGGACTCACGCTTCAACAACCCGCCTGCTCGATCTGGCCGCCTGGGCCCGCCTTCCCGACCCGCCCGCTTGGGCCTGCCCACCCGATGTGCCCGTCTGGTTCTGCCACGTGTTTTCTGCTCCTGGCCCCCCTCCTGCTACTCTCTTGCGTGCTCCATCCTTCTCCCTCCCCCTTCCATCCGTCCTCCCTTCCCCTGTTTTAGGGGCTGCGCTAAATGCACGTGGCAGGTAGGGAAGATGTACCACCAAGGGGACACGATCGAAGACGAAGTGGGCGGGTACCGAAGGTTTGGGATATTCGTGTTGAATGGCACGCGAGCAGATAAGAGCGAACAAACTTAAAATTATTGTTGTTGTTGCTGCCGTTGTTGTTGGGGTTGTTGTTTCATATGGTCGTTGCACGTCTTGCTGATACCCAACTCCCCGGTTTCCCGGGTGTCTGAGACCGCCTGAAAGGCGCACAAACTGGCCCCAAATTGCCTAAAGCGGCCCCAAGAAAGCCCAAGAGAGCCGCAAGACGGCCGAACAAGGCCCAAAGATGGCCCGAAGAATGCCACATGACGGCCGACGACAAGACGCCCCCCAAACCACACCAAACCAAACCGTGACCCAGTCGTTGAGGGAGGTCATGGTTCGCAGAAGGGTTGCCAGAGTAAGCCCCCAGAGGCCCCCAAGAGGCGCCCAGGAAGCTTACAGAGGCCCCCAAGAGGCTCCCAAAAAAGGTTTTGAAAAAAGCGGGTTCATAAAGGAAGAAGAAAGACAACCATTATCGTTGATTTCTAGGTTTCCAATAACAAACTATGATTGCTACTCTCCTCTCTCCCCTGAGCCTGTCCGGAAGATCTCCAGCCCTCCTCCGCGTCCTGCTTTTAACGCACCGGATTGTGCCGAGTTGCTTGTTGTCCGATGTGAGTTTGGTAACTTCATTGTTTTCGGCATTTCAAAAAATATTGTTCCCGCTGCAGCGTGGGTCTCATTTTCGGATTGGCGCTGTGCTCCCGTCGCTCAGAATGGCGCTCTCGCCCCAGCGCGAGCCACTTTTCTGCACCCGAGTCCCTTTTCATCGTTGTCGCCCCCCTCTTTCCCCCTTCTCCGCCTTCCCCTGGTCCTGCTGCTCCTCCCACTCCTTCTAATTTCTGCTGCTGCCATTCGTCCTCGTCCTCCTTCCTCATTCTCCTCCTTATCCTCCAGCTTGTCCTCCTGCTCACCGCTCACCCACTACCTGCTCCTTCTCTTTCTCCTCCACTTCCTCCTATGTACGCAGCTTCCCTTTTCCGATTGCGCATGACACGATGGGGTCTTTTATGGAGTCCCAGGTCGGCTATGACAAGCGTCTGTGGATAATCACACAACAACACCGCAAAAGGGGAGGGATGGGAGGGAGGGATCGGATGTCAGATCTGGCGCGAGCGCAATTAGCTTGACAAATTCACATGTCTCGCATACCGCCTGCCTGCCACGCTCGAGAGACCAAGATGCATGGCGCGAAGCGCCAGTGCAGTCGTGTGTAACATGTGCATAGAACCATGCGTGCACAACACACACACACATACAAGACCCCCTGATCGAGGGCCAGAGCGGTGGCCTACATCGGGCCCGTCAAATAAATCTCTGGAACTGCAAACATCTCAACATGAACGAGTCTGCGCGTGCGCACTTGCAAGCGTGGAGAAGAATGCGGAAAATAGAACGAAAGGCGGGGCGTGCCTCTAACGACAAGCACGGCACACCACCATTTAGTAATGACGGCGTTACGGTCAGGATGTGTGGGGTCGTGTGTGTGTGTGTGTTGTGTCTGTGGGGGGGGGGGGCACACACACACACATACACACACACACACACCACACAACACACACACACACACCCACACACACACACCCACACACACACACTCTTCAAATTAAGGTCCTGCACACGAAGGCCAGAAGCATGTTCTTGCTCAAGCGGAAGGCCTCCCACCACCAGGCACATCCCGCTCTGTAGCTGCCTGCCAAGTACGCGACCGCGTTAGAACCTGTAGGGAAAGGGCGCAGGGACGATGAGCAGGAGTTGCAGGAGGCAGAGGAGGATGGAAGGGGACCGTTGACATCATCAACGACTGGATCAGCTGTGCTCCTCAGCCTGGGGGGGGGCATCTCATCGATTATATATATATAAATATGGAGAAGGAGAGAGGGAGAGAGGGAGAGAGAGAGAGAGATTGAGAGGAGCCAAGGCGAACTACACTCATACACACATGTATACGCATATGTTTATGGAGCGAGAGAGAGAGAGAGAGAACAAAACAAAAAACGAGAGAGAGAGAGAGAACGAGAGAGAGAGAGAGAGTGAACCAGAGAGAGAGGGATGCAGTTATATATATATATATATGTGTGTGCGTATGTATGTATATACATATGCATGAGAGAGAAGAGAAAACAGGGAGAGAGAGAGAGAGAGAGGGATCGAGATACAGGTACCATCTATATAACGTGTGCATGTAACTGTATATGTAAACGAACGGACGGACAGAGAGAGCGAGAGAGGGAGAGGCATACAGAGAGACAGCGATACACACATATAGAGAGAGAGAGAGAGAAAGAAAGAGGGAGAGAGAGAGAGAGAGAGAGAGAAAGAGAGAGAAAAAGAGAGAGAAAGAGAGAGAGAAAGAGAGAGAGAGAGAGACGCATCCCCGCCACCGAGCCACGAGGCACTGAGCGGGCATGCCCCCAGGCCCCTCAAACTGCCCTCCGCCCTCTGTCCTGCGACCCTCCCGGGGGCCCGTAGTCTGCCGAGGCCAAGCGGGTCCCGCTCGCTCCGTGGCGCCCCCGCGCCCTGCTGCACGCCTGCTTCGGAGCCGGGCAGGTCCCAAGACAGGCCCAAAGAGAGCCCGTTGTGGTATTTTGGCGGCGGGCGAGGGGGGGAAGCGAGGAGGAAGAGAAGGCCTCTTCAGAAGGCGGCGGGACTTCTCAGGAGCCCCTCGCGCCTTCGGGGAGGTTCTCTGTCTTCGGGTAAGGCTCAGAAAACTTCTCAGCAGGCCGGGGAACTTCCGAGACTTCTGAGAAGGCCCGTCCCTTCTCACTTCCCCCCCCCGCTCGCCGCCGAGTGTTGCATGTTCGGTCCAGGCGTGCGCCTCCAAGGCTAAGGGGGGACGCATCGTGCTGGCATGTCCTTCTGCGCCCTGGCCGCGGCCAGCCCCGGCCCGAGGCCGAGGGCCGAGCTGACCGGGCGGGCTCGCCCTCGATGGCGGCGTCGCCGTGGCCCGCACGGCGGAGAGAACCCCCAGATTTCAGTCGGGCCTGTCCCTCTATAGGGGAATATTCAAAAATTGCCACAAAATAGTATGGTGACGATTTTTCTGCTATTTGTTTGACTACTTTTTGCATTGTTTGAACGTTCTTGACTTTTTGTCCAAAGTGCCCCTGTAGGAGGACATGCCCGACCTAACCTTCAACGGTCCCAAAGGAGCCCTGGCTCGGCGCAAGAAGCCGCCGAGATGTCCAAGATGCACTCAGGACGGCCCAGGAGCCCCCGCAAGGCGCTCCAAGAGAGCCACGGGGGTCCTCCTTGAGAGGACCCCCGAGAGGCCAAACTCATTGATGTCCCTTCTTGTGCTTGGTGTATTATTGATTTGAGCCTTCTCGCTGTTTCGGGTTCCCTCCCGACGGTCCGAGACGGTCCAGGAAGCTCCCAAGCGCGCTCCAAGACGGCCCAAGAGCGCCACAAGAAGGCCCAGGAGGCGACCAAGGCTGCCCAAGAGGGCCCCAAGAGGGCCTCAAGAGAAACCCCACAGCGAGAGCACAATTTTGAATTTCGAGCCTTTCCCCATAAGAGGCCCCTGAGAAGCCGAATTAACCCCAAACTGACCCCCGAGGAAACCCAAAGAGGCCCCCGGAAAACATCCCAATATACCCGAATCTACACCCAAAGGGCCTCTGACCCACAACCCAGGCACGCAATAGTGGGATGCCCCGAAGGCCACTATATATGTGTATATATAATACATCTGGAGAGGGGATACTTATATGCAGACAGAGAGAAGAGAGAGAAGAGAGGAACGATACTATATATATATATATATATATATAAATATACATATATGTGTACAAGACTGCAGTGGCGCTGCGTTCCATGCGCCCTGGTCCTTTGGATTCCGCACGCTAGCGGAGTGCGAGCGTGCGTACACGCGCACGCACATGCGTCTATGAATGCATCGTACATGTGTACATATAATTATATGTATACACGTTTGTATGGATATGTACATGTATATGCACATGGTCAGTGTAACTATTTGCGCGCATACACATGCGTATATCAGGCGGTAGTGGCCTGACCAGTTGTTCGTATCATCGCGCCACTAAACGGCGCGAGGGTCCCAGGCAAACGCGGTCAGACTACCGTGGGACAGTGCGTCGCCGAGGTCAGTGTTGCGAGGACGCCCCGGGTGAAAATGGCCTGAGCACATCCGCTCAGGGGAGGGCATCTCCGAAGTCAGCCGCGCGAGGAAGTTTCAAGCGAGGAAGTGGTCTGAACACCTCTGCTCAGGGCATCCTTGAACTTAGAGTTGCGAGAAGTCGCACGCGAAAGTGGCCGAACCACCATGGTGCAAGGCACCTCCGAAGTGAGACCTGCGAGAGTGTCTCAGGCGACAGTGGCCGGAACACCTCAACTGAGAGTGTCTCGGGCCCCAGAGCTGCGATGATGTCTCGAGCGAAAACGGCGGGACCGATGCGAAGCAAGGCGCTTCTGAGGTCGGAGTTGCGAGCATATCTCTGGCGAAATTGATTAGACTATTTTCCGTTACCTCTTCTTCCTCCCTCCCCTTTACCTCCCCCGCCCCCATCCTCCCCCTCCTCCTCCTCCTCCTCCTGTTCCTCCTCCTCTTCCCCCCCCCCTACCCGCTTCTTTTTTCGCCCATTCTCCCCGTCCCTGGCGGCGCGGCGCGGCGCCGCTCGGCCTCTCTGCGAGTCAAGCGGAGGAGGAGGAGGAGGAGGAGGAGGAGGAGGAAGAGAAGGAAGACGTTGCGTGCGGTCGCGCGGCCGCGAGTCCCCAGGGAGTGTTTCCCCAGGATGCGCGCTGAAACCGAAAGTTCCCGACGGCCTGATCTCAGAAATGTCACACAAAAAACCCTGGTTCCCAACGTCGCGTCCGGATGAGATGGCGCCGTGGCCCCGACGGTTTGCATTGAGCGTTGCGAGAAGCTCAATCGAGGCGGGAGGAGGAACATGAAGAGGATGAGATGGAGGAGGAGGAAGAGGAGGAGGATGAAGAGGATGAAGAAGATCGATTATGTGGGTATCTGGGGCACAGCCGAGGTGTCGCGGAAGAAATCCGCAGCAGAGACTTGGAAGAGTGAGGAAAGCTGCTTCTGCTAGACATTTGGCGGGGCGGAACGCGAAACATCACGGGGAATTAGGAGAAGGAGGAGGAGGAGGTCGAGGAGGAAGAGAATGAGGAAGAGGAGGAGGCTCAGGAGGAGCTCTTGGGTCCTTCGGTGGTTTGAACGGAAAATGGCCTCGCTGCGCCATTGGATACGACAACGACGACGACGAAGAAGGCGACGACAAAGAGAAGGGATAATGAGAGGGGGAGACCGCTGTGTTGGGATCTCGCGGTGTGCCTCTCGGGGCCCTCTGGGAGGCAGTTTTGAAGCGTCTTGGGGGCGTTTTGGGGTTCTTGGGATCTTTGTGGGGCCTCCTGGGGGCCTCTTGGGGGCTCCTTGGGGCCTCTTGGGGGCCTCTTGGGGGCCTCTTGGGGCCTCATGGGGCTCTCTCCGGGCCTCTTGGGGCCCTCTCGCGGCGGAAAATTTAGTTTTTAAATTTTTGGGCGCCCTCTTGGGTCTCTCCTGGGGCCGTCTTGGTGCTCTCTTGGGGCCGTCTTGGTGCTCTCTCGGAGCCCTCCTGGACCGTGTTGGGGCCTTCTTGGGGGCCTCTTGGGCAATACTGGGGCGATCTAGGGAGCCTCTTGGGCCATTGTGGAGCGTCGGGAAAAGGGAAAAGCGAGAAGGCCAAAAACATAGGAAAACACACAGGAAAATCAACAATTGTAGCCTCTCGGGGCTCTCTTGGGAGGCCTGTTGGGGGTCTCTGGGGGCGTCTTGGACGCGTCTTGGGCAGTCTTGGGCCGATCTTTGGGTGTCTCGGGGCCCTCTTTGGCCGTCGTGGGGGCTTTTTTTTTCGCGTCGCACTCGCAGGACAGACACGAAGCACTCTGCAGGAGCGCCCCAAAGGCTCGGGGAGGCCGAAATTCGTTTGGGGGGGGGCACCGTGTGCCGCTTTTCCGGGGTCCTCGGCCCTGTAAGAATATATAAATAGGAATATATATATATATATATATATATATATATATATATATATATATAAATCAGAGACAGAGATATGGCTATAGAGAGAAAGAAAGAGAGAGAGAGAGAGAGAGCTGGACGTCGAATACAATGGAGCACCAGAACTAGTGGGACAATGACGGTACTACACAAAATGTTCTGCCATCGGGGGCGCCAGTCCCAGGGCGGCTGGGAAGTTTACACCCCTACGGCGGCAAGCGCGGTTACAAACATTCCAGCAGTCTTGGGACTGACAAGCGCCCCCGATCGTGAAACAGTTTATACAGTAGACACGTACTCGACAAGATATAGGGCTATAAGAAATCTTGGGGCGCACTCTTCGTCTAGATTCTAGGCTCTCACGGTGCCCTGTGGGGGCCCCACCACTGCTGTGTGCCCGGAAGGCCATCGAGGGATACGACCCTTCTGTGAGGCACATGCTAGCACCATCGGGCAGTCGGGGGATAAGAAACTTCCGTGGGGCACGTGCCGGAAGGCCAGTCTCTGATCTTACGTATCTGCTGCATTTTTCCGCTCTCCGGCCGCGAAAACGGAAGCCCCTGTCTGTGGTTGGCTTGACGGGCTGTCGGCCTGGTGTGGGATGTTTTTTCGTCTGCCCCGTGGGTCGTTTCCCCTCAGCACGCGCCTGCGGCTGCCTCGCGCAGCCAGGCCGCGCCTGAGGGGGGATGGGGGAGGGAGACAGGAGAGGTGGAGGAGAAGGGAAGCAAGAGGAGGTAAAAGAGATGGAGACTGAGAAGGCAGGTGGAGGGAGGAGGGGAGGAGGGAGAAGAGGTGGAGGAGAAGAGGCGGAGGGGGGAGGACAAGTCCGGAGCCGGCTCCTGGGAGGCCTTCACGGCAACAATTACAGCTACGAAACCCGATTGGGAAGGCCACGAAGCCCGATCAAGCCCAGAATCAAGCATTACAATGCACTGGGCCAGATTTGGCCGGAGGATACCAGCGTAGCAGAAGCTCCGACCGCGGATCTGCCAGCGCAGATGCTGCGCTCTTGACCTTCCGGGAGCTGCCACCGAGGGAGGGGAGGAGGCACTCCTGCTGCTGCGGCGTCTGCTGCGGCGTCTGCTGCGGCGTCTGCTGCGCGGTGCAGCCCCTGCGGCTCCTCCGGCTCCTGCGCTGGCTCCGGCGAGCCCGACAGGGCCGCGCTGGCACCCGCGCTGTCCCCCTGCGGCTCGGCGTCGGCCGCCGCAAGGCCCGTCGCCCCGCCGCCCCCGGCGCCCTCGCGGGCACCGCCGACGTGCGCAGCGCTGGCCGCACTACTGTCGGCTGGCCGGGCCTCCCCGCCGCTGCCGTCGTCCGCGGCCTCGCCCTTGTCGCCGCCCGGCGCCGCTTCTCCGCCCGACCGGAGGAGCATCAGCCACATCACGGGTCCAGCGGCCACTGTCGCCAGGAGCACCGGCGCTGTGAGCAGCAGCAGCTGAAACCGGCCCTTGTCTGGCAGCCAGGGCGCCCAGGACATCATCCACTGTGCCTCGCCCTCGACGACCTTCTGGGTGTGGAATGTTGGGAGCGCCTGCGCCGTGGTACCCGCAGTGTTTGGGATGAATTGGTTGCCGGCGACGACGGCGCACAATAACATGAAGCTCTTGAAGGGGACACCCCTGGCATACTTCAAGAAGGACGCACCGACCAGTGCACACAACATAATGATGCCGGGCACGGCAAGTGTCGCATAGGCGGCGAGCTGCGGGGCGGCTGGAGGCATTCCAAACATTTCCAAGAAACAGTCGAGGCTTGTGGACGTCATGGGGCTCCCCGCGTCTGCTGTCTTGACGAGAACCTGAAGCCTTGCCTTCGCCTTGCCAGAGAGATCTTCAACAAAGGGCACCGCGAGTAGGACGGAGCCAAGCAATGCCGAGGTGCCGCAGTAGCTGATGAGAATCTTCAGCAACTCCCGCTCGCTTGCTGCTGAGCTTACCGGATCGGCTCCCACCTTCAAGGCACTCTGGACCGACAATGCGAACATGACGGTAGGCTGCCCCAAATACACAGCGAGCTGAAGGAAGACGTTGGCAGAACCACATTCCACGCACTTAAATGGATCGCCGGTGGAACGGCCGAAGCCAGCTGCACAGCTTCCGCAACCTAATCTGGTGTCGTTGTAGCCAATGGCACAGACATATGTCTCGCGCAAACGAACCTTGCAGTTCAAGTTTGAGTCGTTGGCCATGTTTTCCGCAGTGTCCAAAGTCACATTAGGACATGCCATCGGATTGGGGCACCTGTGTGCCTCAACCAGTCCAGAGTCACGGTTCATGTGCAAAGCCACACCGTGAGGGACTCTGATGGCGTTCCCGGCGACGATCACCTCCTGCACCGAGTCGCCCACAAATAAAACGAGGACCACTGGACTACACCGCTTCTGCGCGAAAGCCACACGCAATGATGATCGTGCGTGTGGCTTTCCCGCATGGTCATCATGCGTGGCCCCGATCACGCATGACCATGACCATGCCATGATCGGCACCCTCAAAGGAAACGCTACATTCAGAGTAACATCACCGGCCCTTGTGAGCTGTCGATTGAAAAAGAACCTCAGACAGGTGGGTGAATCGGAGTCCAACCTCCGACTCGATTTCCCCGGTGCACAAAAATAAAACAACCGGGAAACACATATCGATGAACCCGCTGCCACTCTGGAGGGATATTCCAATCAGCTTCCGACTCGCGATCTTCCCTTCCGCGTTACCTCTACGGGTGGCGAGAGCGCCTGGAAGCATCAGGTGAGTGAGAGATGCCCACCAACGACCGGTATTACCCTCCTCGCAGCCGTCCGAGGAAGACGCTGCGGACGTGAACCATCCGATGGCAAGGGGTATCATCCCCCGAGATGCCACTCACGGTAACGTGATTGCGAACGGTTCGTACGGTGAGGGCATTGAATAAGGAACCGTAGGATAAATAATGCAGGGTCTGGAAGCCGTCGGAACTCCAGTCGTGGGTTGGCCGTGGATGCCACCGCCGCCCTCATCAGAAAAGGTATCCTCCAAGCTCTGAAGCCACCTGGGCAGATGCACACTCCTTAACCGAAGCCCCCACCCTAGGACATACCGGATCACTGGCACCCGCACCGACGACGTTTCAGGAGAAGGACCCCCTGGACCCCCTCGGCTCCCAGAGATGCACAGAGGCGTCGAATACCACCTCGATCTTGTCCTTTCTCCGCGATCCTTGTTTTCCATGAGGTAAGGCGACGAAGCCAGGACGAGGACAACAAATAAGGTGAGGATAAATCGAGACACGAACCACGCGCGCTTCGCGCGCGCTTAGGTCCTAGTCGCTCCCGCGACCACGCTCAACACCGCCCATGCCGCCACGGCTACCACCGCCCTTTCCGCCATCACCGCGGTCACGACCATTTCTGATTCCATGTCCACTCTGGGCATGACCACCCCATCCACAACGATTGCACTGTCCACGACCACTATAACGGCCATTGGTTCAACCTCTGCCTGTACCGCCACCAATACCACTACCATTGCCACTGCCACTGCCGCGAATCCACCACCACTATCATTACCACCACGGCAAGTGCCACCGCCACGACCATCCAAATCGTCGGTAGGACCACAATCGGCGCACGAACTGAAGCCAACTGCAGGGCGTGCAGGCGCAGCGACGGGCGGGCGCGGGAGCGGCAAGAGTATTTGAGGGCGTCCGGTCAGAGAGCTGTTTGGGGCCTCTTGGGAGCTGCTCGGGGGCCTCTTGGGGGGTTCTTGCAGGAGTCTGGGGCTGCTTGGGAGCGCCCTGGGCGTCTCTTGGGCCACCTGGGGGCCTCTTGGGGCCGAGAGTACGAAAAGTCCATTCGGATCCTCCCCGTCTTGGGGGCCTCTTGGGCCGTCTTGGGCGGCTCTTGGGCCGTCTTGGGGCTCGCTTGGGAGCCTCCTGGACTGTCTTGGGGCTCTCTTGGGCCGTCATGGGGCTCCCTTGGGGTCCTCTTGGGCCGTCTTGGGGGGGCTCTCTTGGGCGGCTCCAAGGCCGTCTTGGAGCGTCGGAAAGCTGGAAAAGCGAGAAAGCAAAAAACGTAGAAAAAAAAAACATGAAAATCAATTGGGCGGCTCTTGGGCCGTCTTGGGGCTCGCTTGGGGGCCTCCTGGGCTGTCTTGGGGCTCTCTTGGGCGGCTCCAAGGGCGTCTTGGGACGTCGGAAATCTGGAAAAGCGAGCAAGCAACAAACAGCGTATCAACTTATGAAAATCAACGATTTTGGCCTCGTGAGGCCATCTCGGGTCGCCTCTCGGACTTGGAGGCCTGTGGGGCTGCTTGGGGGCCTCCTGGGTGCCTCCTGGGGGCTTCTTGGGGCCGAGGGCCCGCACAGTCCATTCGGGTTCTCCCCGTCTTGGGGGCCTCTTGGGCCGTCTTGGGCGGCTCTTGGGCCGTCTTGGGGCGCGCTTGGGGGTCCCTGGGCTGTCTTGGGGCTCTCTTGGGCCGTCATGGGGCTCCCTTGGGGTCCTCTTGGGCTGTCTTTGGGCTCCTTTGGGGGCCTCCAGGGCCGTCTTGGAGCGTCGGAAAGCTGGAAAGCGAGAAGAGAAAAAACACCGTCAAACGAATGAAAATCAACGATATTGGCCTCGTGAAGCCATCTCGGAACGCCTCTCGAAGCTCTCTTGGGGGGTTCTTGGAAGCCTCTGGGGCTGCTTGGGGGCCTCCTGGGCGCCTGTTGGGGCTCCTGGGAGCTTCTTGGGGCCGACGGCCCGAAAAGTCCATTCGGATCCCCCCCGTCTTGGGGGCCTCTTGGGCCGTCTTGGGCGGCTCTTGGGCCGTCTTGGGGCTCGCTTGGGGGCCTCTTGGGCCGTCTTGGGGCTCTCTTGGGCCGTCTTGGGGCTCGCTTGGGGGCCTCCTGGGCCGTCTTGGGGCTCTGTTGGGCGGCTCCAAGGGCGTCTTGGAACGTCGGAAATCTGGAAAAGCAAGCTAGGAACAAACATAGTAAAAACAATGGAAAACAACGATTTTGGGACTCGTGAGGCCATCTCGGATCGCCTCTCGGATTTCTCTGGGGTGGTTCTTGGAGGCCTGTGGGGCTGCTTGGGGGCCTCCTGGGCGCCTCTTGGGGCTCCTGGGAGCTTCTTGGGGCCGACGGCCCGCACAGTCCATTCGGGTCCTCCCCGTCTTGGGGGCCTTTTGGGCCGTCTTGGGCGGCTCTTGGGCCGTCTTGGGGCGCGCTTGGAGGTCCCTGGGCTGGCGTGGGGCTCTCTTGGGCCGTCATGGGGTTCCCTCGGGGTCCTCTTGGGCTGTCTTTGGGCTCCTTTGGGGGCCTCCTGGGCCGTCTTGGAGCGTCGGAAAACTGGAAAAGCGAGAAAGCAAAAAAAAAAAAAAACATAGTGAAAACCAATGACAATCAACGAATTTGGCCTCGCGAGGCCTTCTCGGAACGCCTCTCGAAGCTCTCTGGGGGGGTTCTTGGAAGCCTCTGGGGCTGCTTGGGGGCCTCCTGGGCGCCTGTTGGGGTTCCTGGGAGCTTCTTGGGGCCGACGGCGCGAAAAGTCCATTCAGAGTTTTCCGTCTTGGGGGCCTTTTGGGCCGTCTTGGGCGGCTCTTGGGCCGTCTTGGGGCCCGCGGGAGGGCCTCCTGCGCCGCCTAGAGGCGCTCTTGGGCCGTCATGAAGCTCCATCGGGGTCCTGTTGGGTTGTCTTCGGGCTCCCGTGGGAACCTCCCGGGCCGTTTTGGAGCGTCGGAAGCTGGAAAAGCGAGAAAGCAAAAAACATAGAACAAAACAACTGAAAATCAACGATTTTGGCCTCGTGAGGCCATCGTGGAACGCCTCTCGGAGCTCGGTTGCGGCCGTTTCAAAATCTATAGGGCGGTCTGTTTGCCGTCTTGGGCCCATCTTTGGCCACGTTGGGGCCATGGAAACTTTCCTGGGGAGGCTTTTGGAGGCTCCTCGGACACTTCTGGGAGCGTCCTGGGCCTCTCTGGGGCGGTCTGGCGCCTCCAGTAACGTCCCGGGAGCGCCCCAAGAGCCCCGGACCCCCCATGCGCACCCGAGGTCGCGGTCCCGGGCGCCCCGGTCTCGTGCACGGGGGCCCCGGAACGCCCATGCCCCGTCGAGGTCGCGGTCCCGGGCGCCCCGGCCTCGTGCACGGTCGCGGTCCCGGGCGCCCCAGCCTCTTGCACGGGGATATATATATATATATATATATATATATATATATATATATATATATATGTATATATGTATGTATGTTTATATATATGTGTGTATATATATATATATATGCATGCATGTGTGTAGAATCTGGCGGTTCTGGAAGATGTCTCATGCGCCGCGACATTCTCGGGGCGTTCCGGAACGCTCTGACAGCGTTTCGGAACGCTCTGGAACGGATTTATCCTCGTCCTAGCCCCGTCCGAGGAGTGACCCTCCCAATGGTGACCGCCCTTGGCACTGCCCGGACAATTTCAGCTGAAGGACTTTGTCATCCAGCCCGTCCCCGAGCAGGACGCCGACGACCCAGGGGAGGCGCGGACGGTATCGATTTTGCTGTCAGGAGGGGCCCCATCAAGCAGGAGGCACCCGCCGATGTTTGATGCCACCCTGTACCTGGCCCGACAAGGTGGACCAACAAGTCCCAGCCCGCCGCGCGTAACGACGGACCAGCTCCTCCAGAGCTGGGAGGCCGCAGGCCGCTATCGCGTCCAAGATGGCCCCAAAGTGGTTCGAAGATGGCCCTGGATCTTTCGAGATCGCCTCTAAAATGGCGCAGGTTGGCCCAGGTGACTTCCGGCATGACTGCAAGGACCCCCAGAACAGAACAAGTAAACCATACCGTTCAAAGATACGAAAGAGCGCGTTCTGTGGTCGCGTGGAGGGGGTGGGGGGCTTGGGAACCGGACCCTGGACCCCCCCCCCTACCTCTCCTCTCTCCCTCCCCTCGGCTGGCGGCGGCGGCGGCGGGGACGACGACTTCCGTTTCTGGGCCGGCGCCGGCGCCTGCGGCGGCGTGCGGCGGCGGCGGGGAGCGTCGACGAGGACGACGGTGGTGGTGGTGGTGGTGGTGGTGGTGGTGGTGGTGGTGGGTTGTGGTGGTGGTGGTGGCGGTGGTGGTGGTGGCGAAGGTGGTGGTTGTGGTGGTTGTGGTGGTGGTGGTGTGGTGGTTTGTTGTGGAGGTGGCGGTTGTGGTGGTGGTCCCCCCCCCCCCTCCAGTGACGGAGGGGGGGGGGTCGACCCACCCCCTCCCCCCTACTTCTCCTCTCTCCCTCTCCTCGGCTGGCGGCGGCGACGGCGGGGGCGACGACGTCCTTGTCTGGAGCTGCGCCGGAGCCTGCGGCGGCGGGCGGCGGCGGCGGGGAGCGTCGACGAGGACGTGGATTG